TTTTCACGTGAGGTCAATTATTCTTATTGTATATTGAAGAAATATACAGGTTAATAAAGAATATCTGATAATAAAGGTTTTGAATCGATTATATTGAAGAGTAGCTAGAAGCAATCTCGACGATAAGTTTTAAAGTAGAGAGGATTGTAAAATACATATTTATGCTTGAATATAGACAGCTTTATATATAGTAGTCAATAAGCAATTGGTATTTATGTATACGATATCGATACCCTCTATAATATAGACATTTGAAGAAAGCTAGTAGGTTCGGAAGACTCATATAATAAACTTGTATAAAGCTTGAAAAAATTCATTAAGCGAACCTAATTCTACGTCAATACCAACCTACCTATCTAGCTAGGCAGACAAACTAGTAAGCTCATTAAACTTGCGATCAACTATCAGGTCCCCAAAGCTCTTCCCTTCAATAGTTGCTTTTAGTCATTCCATACAGGCTTTCTTTTCAACTGCGAAGACACAAGGTCCAGAGGATCGGGATTACCTGGGTTTCTGGCGTCAATATAGGCAATCAGCCGCCATGAAGACCCCAACCTATGTAGCCTAAGTACACATTTTTCGACATCTTAATATCATAATCGCGTGCTATTAAGGCAGATAAATACACTTTGGCATTCGAAAAATCTCTGAATAGCTGCAATGCCCAAACCTCTGTAGGCTTATGATAGGCCCAGTACCCAGACCGGCTTCAACAACCTTGATGCCTAGATGATGGGAAGATAAATGAAAATATATAAGAGACAAGAAATCGTCTACTGAACTTTCTCAACCCAATTTACCTCAATACAAAGTTCCTTCATCTATCACTCTATCTTAAATCTCCGCATTCACATTCACACATTAACAACCACCGGAAACTATATTTTCTCACCATGCAAGGAACCACGCAAAGAAAAGTTCTTCTCCCAATGTTCCGCTCGAAACTTCATGAACATATTCACCTAGAATACGAGTATCAGTTTTGGCGCATCTTCACTGGGGAGGCGCCAAGTCTAGAGTCAGTAATACAACTGATGCAGATCATTCTAGAGTATCCCACAATAGTAAAGAATGGACATTCTAATTGGGACACATATCGCAGGTTGGAGGAACGCCTACAAACATGGAGTAATGCTCATGGGACAAACACGGAAATTGTCTCGAAACTTTTTAGTATCTACCCCGTGTTAGTTCGTGACCATGGCTTAGCTTTTCAAGATAAGATAGATGATGTAAGGGTTAAGAAAGAGGCGGATAAGGCAAGAGGGAACGGACCAAAGCCGAATAAAAGGGAAAATTTAGGTGAAAAAACTCATAGGGAACGTTCCACAAGCCGTCCAAGGGGATCTGGTAGAAGATAGTTGATTTTTTAGTTGGCGTCTGAATTTGTTTTATTTGCTGTCTCAAGGATGAGATTAGAAATTTAATAATTAGCGTTTGTACTTTGCTTGTCTGTTGGCCCTCGAAATTGAATTACCTATCTTCATTTAGTCCTAAGAAAGAATTGTACAGTGTTTGAATCCATTGGGAACTAGGTACCATCCCCTCGGATCGCGGGCTAGCATCAGTGCAAGATATAATGCTTCGAGTCTTTTTCGCTGAACATCAGTTTAACTAGTTGTTAACGACCGCAGAGAAACGATATCAAAACATCCCGATCAAATTGAAGATAGTCCAACGAAGTCGGATCGTTGACTATGGGAATGTGTTTATGAGTTCTAGAGTATAAGCACTTCAAGCAGAGGGCTGCCAAATAAAGAAATTGAATCCAGTAATGGAATGATGATATTAGAGTTCGCATTAATCACAATATGTCGTCCTCTAATCTTGATGTTCAAGGTTGTTCTCAGCTTTCCAATAATTACTCACCTCGTACTTTATCATACGCTCCGTTTTGATCTATAAAGATAATTTCGCATCATCGTACACTCTCCTCAGAACGTCTCAACTAGCAGTGCTAAGTAACAAACATCATATTCTGTAGACAGACTCCTCACCAACACCTCGACTAATCATGTATTTGACTATTCAAAGATAGCCCTATCGCAGTATATACCGTCTCCTCGCCGTCATAGCTATCACTCTCTAAGCTCCCTCTCAATAACCAACCCCCCTTCTTCAAACATCGCGCGAAATGCGTGCTTTATATGAAAATGCGGATGATTACCGAATAGATATAATCATTTCATTGCCCTCGCTACTGCCGGTCCACTTTATTAGAGTAGTCTTTCATTATATGTTCAACTTATGCATGTCAAACTCTATATCAGTTAACTGAGTAGCTCTTTTCCCTTCATTCCCCATTCCATTTTCCAGGCCTTGGCGTAAAATATGATAAATCTGTTTGATACTAGCATCTAAGTCAAAAGGGTGTTTTCAAAGGCTCAGGAATATCTCTTAACATAATTCCGTCAAATACCTTTCCCAGAAAGCAAGGAGTGGCAGGAAATAGTCAAGAACTTTAGGAATAAGTGACAACAGAAAGGAAAAAGACTCAACCGGCACCTACCTACCTTAAATTTTTTCATAGAAGTTCTATTTCCAGGATTCAAAAGCTGTACTGTAACTATCTGTTGCTCATGAAAAGTTCGGAGGCTCACAAATGAGAGAAACAGTGAGAAAGTAGCCGAATGAATTCCTAAAATTGAGGCTTACTTGGGCAGATTTTCAAAGATACATTATCGAATTTGTGAAAAACACCAGATCTGTAGTTTTGCTTTTAGGAATCTATATAAATTTGATATTGTACTTTCAGAACTTTTGCTTTTCACCGTGCCCATTTTAAGGGAATCAAATGATTGTAATTTGGTGATACATCTTTCGAAACCTTATTGGGTAGATCATAAGAATCTCAACACTTTTGGTCGACCCAAACGTTCATACTCTTCTTCAGCCTCTTCCCAAATTCGATCACGATCTTCATCCCATGCTTCTTGATTGAAATTATCCGGCCAACCATATGTACCTTCTAGAGAATGCTTGATCTTACGCCGCTATACAAGCAGGAGGCAGATAGTTAGTCTCGTATATTACACATCATTCATTACAACATGGAATTTTACTCACCATCCATTCGTCTGCAAAGTCAATGTAGCTTAATGCACTCGGTCCCGGTGGAATGACATCTAAAGCCTTGATTCTATTCAACTGTATACGAAGGAAACTTGGAGCATGCCTAGGCCAATAGTTTCGATAGTAGCAAGGGTCATCAGGTCGCTCAAGGGGTGCATTAGAGGGGTTCGAATCGTCTGCACCATCGTCCATAGTAGATACTACTCGGATCGTATCTACAAGCATTATGTTAGGACGATAAGTTTGTCTCGGACATTACACTTACTTTCTCTTGTATCAAGGATTATAACAGGCGTCTCCGGATCCCCAGCAGACAGCTGAACATCATACGGTAATATATAGCGCTCGGCTGGGGGGTCTTTTTCCTCATCAAACGATGGAGACTCGCGACTAGCGCGCAGACTAAAACCATGATCCGAAATTTCAAAAAGTTGACTGGATTGATAAAGAAAAACCGGGAAGATGCTACTTCCAGAAGGTAAAAGCCGGATTAGTGATTTTGCCGCATCAGAAATATTGAGCTCATTGCAAAGCGCCTCATCAAGGTGATGACCACCCTCTGGAGGCCAAGTCACTACATCCTTCGAAACTGCTGACAGCCGAACATAATTTCGGACAATTTCATGAATGAGATATACAATTTCGGCCTCAACGTAAGGGGTTCGTTTGTTGTATATAGGGAGCCATTCGATTGATGAGTCATTATTGTCAGGTATGTGCGGAATTTCAGTGGGTAGATCTCTCCTTTGAGGTGGCTTGTACTGAGAAGGTTGTGAAACCGGGGGGAATAACGAATTGGGAGATCTATGGTCAGTTGACATTTTGGGGAAAATTAAGTAAAACTGAAAACTACCAAGGTGCGTAGATTTATAGTCGTCAAGAATGAGGCGGAAGTTATTGCTAATGCCAGGTATTATGCTGAGTCATCACAATGTATGAAACCGTTCATAATTTTCCATCAATCGGCTGTTATTAAGCAGTCAATGGGGTTCCTAAGTACTTCTGAATTAGACAAAAAATGCGAAAATACCTTGATGTTATATCACAATAACTCTAAAGCTATTTGGATCTATCCGATGTGAACTAGTGAATCAGAATTTTTAATTTGTACTTAAAAGCTTTCAACCCAGGATGCTGATTGGTTGGTTTACATCGGAATTTCCACAACGGTGTTTTACTAGTCTGCAATTTAGGTGTGTTCTTAAAGTATCATAATCTTCTTTTTATTTTACATTCTCGATTTATATAATTACAAATTTTCACTTCTAGCTCATTCTAATGCCTGGAATTCTGTTTCCCGCTACTCCAATTTCCCTGGCTCGGAGTAGTGGGTACTTTGTGGGCAATCAGTCTAAATCCCATGGAGATACCTCTACACTTGTACAAGTGCTATGTACCATACTAGATAAATTTCCGAATTAAAACCAACAGTTGCAAAGTTCCCGGTTGCCAAAATTCATTTTCGGAATCAGTATCGTGCCAGGAGGGCCTTCCAGCCGTTGGATTGAACCCTCTCCAATGTGGATCTTTCTCCCTGGCAATATGTATGAAAACCCTGAAGATCTGGCGCTTCCAGCTAATCAATTCACCCTGGTAAGTTTAAGCCTTTCGTGTAGGTTAGGCCGGAGATTTTGACCCCTACGGAGTATCACCATCACATGCATTGCACGTTTCTCGAGCCCGATGTAGATCCGCTCTGTGGAATTTACACAGTACGCGATATGCCCACTATACGCCTAGCATACAGTGCTATTATTATCCGGGGACAAGGGGAAGTAATTTGAAGAAAACTATATGAAATCAAATACAGCGGCTGCTACCTACCTCAAGCTCTTCATTGATATAATATGCTTTCATTGCTGTAGAAGCTTCATCAACAGTCCAAGGTAGCAAGTAGCTTGACGTACTCAAAATAGACAGCAAGCAGTATGAAACTTCTAATGCTGGTAGCTCTGCTATCAAGTCTCACACTAGTACGCTCAAAAGCCGTCTTTGCACATTTTATGGTATGAAATGTCGTCTACCATGCAACGTCGTTTGCTGATATTATATATGCAGGTCGACAATACAGCTTCATACAGCACTGATGACTGGGAAGACGATATCAACCAAGCTCAAATTGCTCATACCGATGCCTTCGCGTTGAATATCGCTAATAATGATTCAACGATTGCTGCACGGCCACCAACACTCTTTTCGATCGCTGGGAGCAAGGGCTTTAAACTGTTCTTCTCCTTTGATTATGCTGGTAATGGAGCGTGGTTATAGGCAGATGTGATTGCTCTGGTTAATCAATACAGAACGGAAGCTGCATACTATTTTTACAATGGGCAAGCCTTCGTATCGACATTTGAGGGTGTTGATAACACGCAAGATTGGCCAACAATTATCCAGGACACAGGTTATTTCTTCATTCCATCTTGGTCGTCTTTGGGCGCCAAAGCAGCTATGGCCACTGGAGTTCCGAATGGTCTCTTCAGTTGGGGGGCCTGGCCTGAGGGACCAAATGATATGTTTACAACAACTGATTATTCCTATCTTCAATTTCTTGGCGGAAAACCCTACATGATGCCGGCTTCCCCCTGATTCTTTACCAATCTTCCCGGATATCACAAAAATTAGTTATGGAGGTACGTGCGAATTCTTTCATGATTCATACTTGATCGTGCCCGTCAATTTGAACATCAAACTGACAAATACCCAACAGGGGAGATGACATGTGGTTCGACAGGTGGACATAAATCTGGTATGCAGCACCGGAATTTGTAGAAATTCTAACGTGGAACGACTATGGAGAATGTATTTGTCCCCATTACTTGATTTTCAGAGAGGAAATACTAAGATTGTTGATCTAGGTCATTATATTGGACCGAATCGTGCTAAGGCCTGGTCCCTTTTCGATTCAAGTTACGGAAAAGCTCAATATAATTATGCAGATGATTTTCCCCATGATGGATGGAGGCAGTTTCTACCATACGTGATCGAAATTTGTAAAACTGGTGCTGCAACAATTACTGAAGAAGGTTTGTCGGTTTGTTTTCGACCACAGCCAGCTTCAGGCTGTGCTACAGGAGGAACTACAGGGAACACCGCAAGTCAATTACAGATTCAGTATGGCCCAGCAGAGATCGTCCAAGATGAGATCTTCTTTACAGCTCTTCTTGGATCTACAGCGACAGTCAAAGTTACTGTAGGTGGTGTCGACCAAGCTGCTACATGGACGAGAATTCCAGATGGCAATGTCGGACTGTATCATGGCAATGTCACGTACAAAGGTACAGGGCCTGTTATTGTGACTGTTCTAAGAGATGGTACCCGAGTTGCACAAGTCTCGGGAGGTTCCATTTCTACAGTTTGCACAGACAGTATTGAGAACTGGAATGCCTGGGTTGGATCTGACACAGGACCATCGGTCTCGGCGGTAGCTCCAGCTTATCGTTCAACAGCTCTACATTGTGTTAGAGGAATTGGTCCAGGGGATTATGCTGAGCTTTGTGCTCTCGCATGCACGTATGACTATTGTCCAACAGTCTGCACCTGCAAGTATAATAATTGTCCAAACGAAAAATGTATCTGTACGTCAGCAAGCTTCACCGAAAATACAGCTCCAACATATTCAACCCTTACTGGCTACCCAGCAGACAAAGATGGACAGGACTACGGCCTTTGTGAATGGGCGTGTAATCGAGGCTTTTGCCCATTTCCTCCTTATTCTAGTACTGCTCCTCTCGCAGATATTGGAGAAGATGTAACTTCGTTTCCAAGTTATACTGTCTCAAAGCTTACCGCGACAAGCAAAGCAAATAGCGTGGCCCTGCTTGCCTACTGGACAACTTGTGAGTACCTTCCACAGTGCGCCCCTGGATTTCGAGCGGTTGGATATGGCCATGGCAAGGTGAGTACTTATTAATAAGAAGGTATCCAAACCCTCTCTAATCAATTCAACAGGTTCATGATGCCGACAGGAATGCTTATACTGCCGATGGTTGCACCGGTGGATCCAAGGGATTTAATCGTGCATTTTGTGTGGAAACTGATGTTAGTCTTGGCCAATGCAATTGGCGAGGTACTGCTACATCCTGTTCTCAGACATGTAAGGCCGGAGAATTTCTACTTACCCAAAATACACACATTGCATTTGCAAAGGCTGGCTGTAAGGCGGGACATTTCTCAAGTCTATGCTGTGAGAAAATTGAAGTTCCCAGCAAAGATCTTGTAACTTGCCCCTACACGAACTTGAACAATGTTATCACTGGAGGGCATGGCCCTGTTGTGCGGGCTATATCCAACTCAAAAGCGTATCTAGGTGGCTCTCAAGTCACCGCCGGTGAATGCATTTATAACCCTGTAGGAAATGCTTTGTCATTTAGATTGAACCAAATAGTTGCTAATGGTGCAATTTTGAACAACATACCAGGTACATGGGAGGCACACGTTGGGGGTGTTGCGGATTTCAAACCTACTAAGAACAAGCCGCCACAAAGTCAAGCCAAAAACATCGATGAATGTGATACATGGCTGGCAGACTATCATACTACTTCATTGTCAGTAACTTCGACAGTCACTATTAACTGCGACGAAGACAACTGGCCCCAAGCTTGTGCCCATTACAATTCAGTTGAAAGCGTTATGACACTACCGGTAATTACATGTCCTTGGCAAAATCAAGGATCCAAGGACAGACCGGCACCTTCCCGTTGGAATTCACAGCATCACAGTGTGTGGTGGCCCTTTGTCGATAGCTTCCGAGGTCCTCTTTCTTGCCAGAGAGACGAGTATCCACCCCTTTACTTCATGCCTACAGGACATTTAAGCGATTGGCGGCAATCAATCCGATTATTGCCTAGCCGTCAAAACAATCTAGCGGGAAAGAAATGGAGACTTCTCTGCCAAAGTAAAACATAAACTGTCAGTGCTGAAGGCGGAAGTATTGCCGATGGGACTTGTCAATCGACAATAACGACTTTACAAAAGGTTCGAGCTATGAGTATAGCATTTGACACACGGTATCTTCGACAAAATGACGACATGCTTAGTGTTAATCCCTGTTCAATAAATGCATTATTGACCAGCGATCGAGGCTTCGTACTCCTTGCAAATGACCCTTGGTATAGGCCTTGGAGATCGGCCAAACCAGCAGACTATTCCTCGAACAAAATTCCGTCGACGTTACTAAACAATTTAAAGAGATCGGTTCAAAAACGCAACGATAACGGGCTTAACCATGAACAGATAGAAGCACTTGCCAGATATGAATATCATTTCGTATCAATTCCGTCGTCCCTAACGGATCTTAAATCAGATTTTATCACTGGTGAGAAACATCGACTCCTTGATCTCCTACTTGCTCGTTTTTTGATATTTCAGACATAAACGCAACTGCTAACATACTGCTTTTTTAGTTGATGTTGGTAATACAACCCGCCGAGCTAATGATGAAGATGTTTTCACAATCTTGCAAATTCTAGGCAACGAATTCCTAGAGGACGATTGCGAATACGATGAGTTTCACTGCAGCGGACCAACTATGGTCGACCAGGTTCAGACTGCAACATGGGATCCCCCTGTAACATCTTCAGTAGTGCTGGCTTCTTCGTCATCTATGACTTTGACAGGTGCAATTATGCCAGCTGCGACTGGTCCAAAGCCCGTTCTAACTGTTGCGACTTCGTCGGAAAAACCTATACCCACGAAGATCGCCGAGGGAAATAAGAAGGGTCGAGGCGGAGAAGATGGCGCTGTCCACAAGCACGCGCACTTCAATCATAGATACTCGCATCGACATCATCGCAAAAGTTTGTAAACAAGGAGAATATCATATTGAATCAAGATAAAGAATCTTTGGTACAATATCTAACGTTATAACAAATGTGTAATGAAAATGAATCCTGCACAAGTGAGAACAAACACTTGGCTATTGTTAGTATCAAGTTGATTGATATCTATAAAGGACAACGACTTTTGGGGTATTTTCCTAAAACTCCAACGCTAAATACTCTAAACCCTGTAGTATTTTTTGTCCCTCGCTGTGTGACATACAACCTATTGAATAGTAAAAAAACATTTTTTGAGTAATACTAACCATCGGCATACAAGAATGGAAAGTCTATAAGCCCCCATTTTCTCTGTCTACAATCAATATTTTAGTGAACCATCATAAATTACCACGAAAAAATATAAGAAAGTATGTTAAAGCTACCCTTTGCAATACGGTGCGGTGCTATGGCTCCCAAACTGTAATCGCCGTCCCTGTTCTTGAATCTCGTACAATCTATTAGAGAACTAGAGAATGTGGAAGACATTGATATCAGGGGTGAAATGGATGGTAGTGTTGGAAAGTTAGCCTAGCGATTACTTCCTTAGTCATAATAATACTGATCATCTTGACCACTTTGGCCACTTTGATAACCACGTGAATGAACGCCCGTATACCCATCAGGCGGTTGACATACATATGATTGAGTAGCCGATGTTCGACCCGTAAAAGTTTGTATAGCCCATGATTCACTGTCTGAAGAACTGCCCTGATTTTCTTGATACTGAGTATGTTGACCAGGATGAGCTGCATGATAAGCTGGTTGCTGTTCACTTACATAGCCCTGTGAATATCCACCCATGAAACCACCAGCCTGTTGAATACAATATGGCTGAAGAGCCGATGCTTCACTAACTGAAGAGCTGCCCTGGTAATCACTGGATGATTGACCAACCTGTTGTTGAGTTGCTGGGCGATGATCTGGCTCTTGTGCTCGAACGGCATTATCAGTCTCCAAAGACCATGCATTTTGGTTTGCTGGGACAAAATTTGGCCCTTTCAAGAACTCATCTGCTGGGAGCGGCGGACTAGACCTAACGCCATTCTTAAAATCGTTATGCTGTTTTATCGCTTGTGCTGCCTTCTTTGATACCTTGTACTTCCAGGCCTCCCCACAACCAGCACATATCAGGCGTGGTTGAAGCCGACATGCGGGCTGCTACTGCCACGGCCACGGCAACGGGTCAAACGTAATGTGTGGCCACTGTGACGAGAGGAACGTGATGGACGCATTATTGACGAGTACTAAAAATCCCGACTTTCAAGTAACCAAATGTCGAAATACTGAGAAGCTCAAAGTGAATACTAAGACGGCGATGAGGAATGAAACTTTGATTTGACAGCAAATTCTTCGAGTATCTTCAATCGTGGTGGTTAAGAATAAGAAGAGGTCTCCGACCTCGCAATCAGAAACAACTTGTGGGTGGTCTTGAAAATAAATGATTGAATGGCTTGTCGAGAGTGGTATTTATGTTTTGTATCGAGTGTATGATAGTAGAGTACGCGAGGAAAATGTGTATGAAAGGGAGGATGTAGTTGATGAAAGTGCCAGTTTTGAGGTGCGAAAAAACGGTTCCCGTATGGCCTTTTGAAAATCGAGAGCAAAAATTGCGTGAGAGAGTACGAGTATGTGATGGTAATATGTATGATCTCAAACCGCACGATCTTCAACTGTATCTCCTATTCAAAATAGGTATCTGGTATCACGATATTCTCTTCAGAGTAGAGTATCCACGAGGAAGAAGAAAGGTTTCTTAAAGGAGGACATCCTAACCTATTTAAGCGCGTATTGAGGTACCAAATCGACCATTTTTCTTCCGTCAAGTTCATGCTTCCTCATGATCAATACAAATGTTTGGTATGAATATGCCTCAAAATATGGGGGTTCTGACTCGAGATACACAGTATTTCATGATTCAGAAAGAGATACAGTATGAATATATCTCAAATGACCAGATAATGACTGTTAAAATGAATTACATGATATTTCGTGATTCGAAAAAGAATGAAGTATGAGCATACCTCAAAACCAGTATTTTATGGCTAGTAACAAGCAAAAAGATAAGAATCGACTCCATATTCATGATTCCACATGATTAACACAGACAGATGTACGATATGAACACATCTCAGAACCAAAGGTCCATAATTCCAACTCTATGAAGACTCATGATCAAGACAGAACTATAGTATGGACATAAATCAAATCATGGCTTCATGACTATCGCAGAGAAGGGTGAGTAATGATCACCCCATTTTCGTGATCCGTATGAGAAATGCAAAATTTCGATACTGATTTTTGCAGCATTGTGATTTTGGTTGTTGGATTCAGTTGGAGACTTCGGCAGTTTCATTACGTCTACCATTTACATGCGCAACCAGTGCCCCACGAGCTCTGCCACATCTGGTATCAGAATTGTATTCCTCGCCTTTTTGATCGCGTTCTGAGGGCTGAAGATGGGAGATGTCGATATGATGCGTTTTGATGTAATCTTTTTCCAAGAAAGTATTACTCGTTCAGCCTCGTCGGTCCAAATTTCTAAGCCGCACAGCCACATTCAGCCACCAAGGTTATCAAAACATTATCTGAACAGTCGCAACCGTCTCAAAAGGTGCAGAGGGTAGTGCTGTGGGTTTCGACGATGTACTAAGTATTCCGTGTAAACAAATGGTTTGCTCAACTGTACGCCGAATACGTGATCATACCCATACACAACATCCACAGCAGATTTAGCCCAATCTTCATACATATTTTCACATTCCCATGTCGAGAAGCTATCGCTTTAACAATACAAACTAACCCGCACCAACCTATCCCCATATTATCATATCCCAAACCTCTATTTATCTCTACAGCTCTGCTAACATTGATAACATAAGTCACTTGACATGAGTATTTCCGGAATGAATGAGTTGAAGTGTACACATACATCGTCTGAATACATCTCGAACCCAGAGATTCATGACCTCGACGCCACCAAAGAATCATGAACACAAAAATAAGTTTCCGGCAAAACACAAACTGGAGAAACTCAATCCATAAAATACTATTCTATACCTAAGTCCTAATATTTTTTCGCTATTCGATGTCATCACCCTACCATCGTTTCATCGACTAACCTCCGGTTCTCTACGTATCATTTATCTCCCTCATTTCAGTTTGTATGTATACTCCGTACTGAAGCATAGTGATTCCATATACCGCTTTCCCTCATGACCATCTTAGCAATCAATCACTATTCCAGCTAGCGCACACTCTCCAATTTTCCTTCTCCCATTCAGCCCTTCAAATCCATCCATAACCTATTCCTGTTTCCTCTCTTCCAAAAAGAACGCCCGGAAAAGACAAGCAAGTGAACAGACCCAAATCAATTTAAAACAACCCTGAACTACCATGGTATTTTTTGTACTTCTTGAAAAACTCGATCTTTGTTTTACTCCTACTATTTATCCTTATCCCGTATCCTTACTGAATGGAAACGATCTCTGCTTATCCACACATAGCATTCTTCTCACTACAACAAGAAGACAAAAGAAAGGAACTATAAAGAAAGAAATTGTATGTGCAAAGAAGTGAACAATATAATCGTCCGAAATACTGAACGACAGATGTTCAAGTTATGTATGTACTACCACTCAAACAATAATCACATCCCCTAATAACGACTATTGACACTAACCGAAGTCATATCCGCTCTCTTCATAGGAGGAGGAGGAGCCGGTTTCTTGGCTCTACTGGGAGGAGGTGGTGGAGCTCTTCTCGAGTTTGGCGTAGAATTACTACCATGACTAGTAGCTGGACTAACTGATCTTGCACCGTATGATCTATCTGGGCTATTGCTGTTAAGAGTTGAATCATCACTTGGATCATTAAATAAATCAGCTGAAATGATATTAGTCCTGGCAGTTGGTCTTAGAGATGCGCGTAAAGAACCAGCATCTGAAGGAGGAGGAAGAGAATTAAGACGATTCGAAGAAGGAGATTCGCGGTAATGAGTTGTTGGGCCTTGGAATGTGGACGATCGACCAATTGATGGACGCTGTGGGGAACTTGGGGGGGAATATTCCTCCCTTCGATCCTCTCTTCTACCAATTCCTGATGTTGAGGCAACTCGAGTTGTGTTAACACGAGGAGTGTTGGATCGGATAGATGGACGTGGAGCTTCTAGCTCTGGGATAGGTTCTTCATATGTAGAGTATCTCTCACTGTATGAATGAGCTGTGTTGGAACGAGGTCGTGCTTCTGGGCGTCTAGGTTGACGTGGTGGTTGTGCCGCTGATCCTCGTCTAATATAATGTCAGTCACAGAAAATTCGCGTGTATCATTAATAACTTACGCAGCTGGCCATTCCCTCTTCAATTTCAAAAGTTCATCACGACAACGGTCGTAATATTCGAGCTCGGCTTCCAAAAAGGCTCCCAAATCTTGAACACTTTCCGCCTCTGCCTCTCTGATATCTTGCATCCTTCTGTAAACATCTTCACTAGATTCTTCATATTTCGCTTTTTGTGATCTGAGTTCTTCCTCGACTCTAAAATCTTCTCTCTTTGCCTTTTGCATCTTGGAAAGGGAGGCATCGTAAGCCAATCGTCTTTGTTCGAGCTTCTTCCTGGCAGACTTTGAAAAGTTAGATATTGCGTATCTGGACCATGGCACATTATACAAACCTGATATTCCTTCATTTGAGCCAAAGATCTCTCCAAGGATTCGAGCCAACTCGAAGTTGCGTCCACAACATATGTATCCTGCTGTCTCGAAATTCTCTCATTCGTTCTACCCATAGCTATATCATTATTAGCCATTTTCTCAAATACCCTCTGGGGATCTACCTACCAATAAGGCAATTTCCAAACTCGGAATCCGGTTCAAAGTCTTCTCCATGATGTATCATTGTTTGTCCCATGAATGCTACTGGCAAGATCTTTTCTCTGTCATCTCCTTCATTTCGCTTCGAAAGTGATTTGACATAAATCGTCATGGACTTTTGCAACTTTTCCATTCCTGGTAAATATTAGAATAATTCATGAATCGGTATATGGCAGACTGTACCCTCATGTCTCATTTGCATTTCTCCCTCCAAAGACTTGAATTCATCCGAAACTTCAGTCTTGGACTCTTGTCCCATCTTCTCTCCAGCCCATTGCTTGACTCTACCAAATTTCTTGCCGACGTTCATATTGGCGGTTTATGTTGGAAGGCAGTGAATTACTTTCTTGGAATTGTTCGTGTATGTTGCAGTATGCGGATTGTTCGGGATCGAAGGGAAGGTACTGGAGTATTTTAATTGTTGATTTTCGTACAACAAAGAAAAGGTTTATTTCAAGCCAGCAATTGTTATATTTATCCGAGGATCAACGAGAAGTTTCTCGGTATTCTCTGAGCGAGCGTGAGACAATAAAAGTATTGGCAGATTTCCCAAAGGTGTAAGGAAGAGTGAAATCAAAACTGGAAGGCGAATTGAGGACTGGATTGCATAAAGTATGATAGCCACAAGCAAAGTTAATTCCTCCAAACTCTCAATGATTCGCAAAAAGGTAAATCCTGGGTAGAACAACGAAGCGTGAATGGTTGAATTCGTGATGGGGAAGTAGATATCTGAGAGTCAATCCCCCAGATCCTTGTATCTTCGACGTGTTGTTATCAAGGTCGGGGAATAGCTTGGATGAAGAGGTTGGGAAGAGTGGGGAGATGTAGTAGTATATTGTATTGCAGTAGCTATATGTATTGCATATGCACCACCAAGGACGGGATACTTTCGATGGAATGTTTTCCAGGAAGGTGGTTGAACGAATGTGTACGAAGAAGCTCTGTGAATGGCTCGCGGTGAAGTTTCCTTGAATTGATGTGGAAAAGAGTGTGGTTGGTGACTGGTTGTCGGGTATTTTTCCCCCTTAGTTGTACCGTACCTAGGTAAGCCTTTAATGTTCTGGAACGAAAAGAATGTGGTATTGAATTGATTGTGGTGTGGTGCGATTGAACGGGTGGTCGAATGGATGGATGGATGGATGAATTGACGACGAGTAAGAATGAATAATAAATCAACCGTTCCTTTCCTCTCCTTTCCTTTCTTCCTAACCAATATCAAATTTGGTAGGAGGTATGGAGGCACGGGATGAAATCTTGATGAATCGGAGGGTAGGAAAGAATTAGGCAATTGATTTAATTAATTAATTGATTAATTGATTGATTGATTGATTCTTAATTGAATGATTGGGTCGGTTGGATGGTAAAAGTCTCCTATCATGAGATGGGAGTAGAAGTGGTGGAGGGAATGAATGATGTGAATATGTGAATTATGAAATGTTTATCAGTTTATCATTGAGCGTAGGTAGGTACTCGCATGAGAAGCTTGAAAAGAGAGATGGGAAGAGATTCAAGAGAAGATAGAAATGAATGAAATTCTTATCATATCATATAATGTAGAGGAGGATAGGATAGGATGGGAGAATAGGAGAATGTCCTTCCATCTATCTAGGTACATCTAACAACAACAAGAATAGGTACCTACACCACTCATAACCAGTTATGACTGGTGAACCAACGACGATGATTCTTTCGAGGCCAATGAACCCCCCTCCATCGACCAATTTTCAAACCCTCACATTTGGATAAACACTTTCTTTTTCATCCATCCCATCCCTCAAGCCACATCTCGTGTCGACCATCTTTTTAGTCAACCTATCAGTCTTCATGATTCTCTGCCCCTGAAACCTTAATCGGCATCTAAATTACTCCCATCGGAAAGACTAAAAATATGTTGTACGACGACTTTATAGAAATATTCGCCAATCGTTCTAGAGATCTTCTACGAATCAAAGACTCTGAGCTTGACATATTGCCCGTGGTGCTTTGTTTCCCCTTTAAGTTTTAACGCAATAGATCATTATTACTATTTCCATAAATAGGTTCAGCACTTTTAGCATCGACATCTTCTCGTATTGACTAGACAAGAAAAAATCAATGGATTTTGCTTAGAATACCATCATCTAATACAACTAATATAATATTGATCAAATCTGTCACTAATAATCACACCATCACAATCCCTCGCAAAACCATTTCATTACTGGTCTCGTGGTCACCACCCAAATTCGGTCTGCCAACTACCCCTCCTGAAAGCGTTACGCGGCAAACATTCAGATGAGAAAGGGGCGCAGCTCAATCGGTACAAACTAACCTCAAACTTCAAGCCAAACGCCCGAAGAGGTCCTATTCTACCCTATCCATCCGGACTCTAGAGTCGACCTGATAGTCTGCTCGGGCTCGTCCTTTCCACAAAAGAGCATCGTGTTTGATGTGTACACTACTAAACTCTAAGCCTCAGAGATTAAATACACCACATCACAACTGAATCAGAAGATATGGAACATCTGAACTTGACACCTCTCAAATCAGACAGTATTCAGATATTTATAGCAAGCCGATCTTGATTCGATCTTTCCCTTCCCAAACACAACTTCTCCTGATTCCCTCTCTCCCTTTCCCTTTCTCAATCCAATCACTTCATCCATCTCAGACCCGCGGGGGAGACGTTTCATCTCCAATTAAGAAACCCCACTGGCACCACCAGCGACATCCATAAACCCATAAACCCCACTCAAAACATTAGCAAACGTTAGCTACCGAAATTCGAAAATCTAGACCCTATCACTATCTTTTGGTTGAGATGCTACTTTACGATGTACAGTAAGTAAGTAGTAGGTAGAAGTAGGGAGCGGATTATCGTAATATCGTTCCCATTACGCCATTTTACCGATTGACGAAAGAAAGGCTTTCGTGTTCTCATTGCTCAAATACCATTACTAGAAAGATAGGGGTAAATGAAATTCATCATCGTCATCATTATGATTCCATTTAAACCAATGTCGGCGTAACTAGAAATGTCTATCAATCTCGCATCTAAAACACCAAAAAATAAGAATTCATATCTCCAAACAAGCATTTTGGATGTCTTAATCGATCCTCTTTCTTTGCTCCCGTTACTTTATAATAAACCTACCATGCCCTGCTCATTCATTTTCGTTCATCACAACTATCGTCGCAACCCTGACGCTTAAAATGTAGGATCTCCCCTTCTGACACAAACGAAAAAAATCACGATTCACCAAACTTTATTGTGGCCCAGATTTTGGAATTAATCTCAAACTCGCAATATCAAGGTAGTGTAGGTATGGTATTCATGCCGTGCGTGAACTTTGGGGCTGTGTCTATAAAGTTGAAACCTGTAGACCGGTAGACATGGCTTACCCAACTATTGATCGCGGCATTTGTTTAAGTCGGTGAATAAGTGAGATAAGTAGTCTGTTACTACTACTAGAGTGAGTGACGGGTGTGAGTTATGTGAAGTTGTTGAAAGAGTCTTTCTTCCTTCCTAATTGACGAGGATGTCAAAATGTGGAAAATGCGTGAAGCAAAGAGACCCCTCAGGAAATGTGTCCAAATTCTTTCCCCGTCACCAATCGATAAAATATTCAACCTTAAACGCAGCCAGCAACAAACAGGCTCTGTGTGAACTCACAGGATTCATTTATTTCAATGGTCCGAGATGCAAAATGGACCTCATGAACAAAAACAAATTGTCCTCGGAGAGACTCGAACTCTCGACCTTTGGATGGCTAAAGTGATTGTTAACAACCACCTCATATAGGAATATGAGACCAACGCTCTAACCAACTGAGCCACGAAGACTTTTCTTTGTTGTTGGGGTATCGAAGTTTATTTGAATATATGATTTTTTGCGTATTTGAAATAGTCCCGGGGGAGGTTCGGGCTGTGGGGTCTTATGCTCGGCGCTCGGATTGATTGATCCAGTTTTCGACAATGGAAATGCTTTGATATCAACGGCAACGACGACAAATGAAAGGCCTTCGTGTTTTACTTGGTCAGAGAATTTCTCTCATGTTTCCTTATAATATGGCGGCCAACAACTATTATCGGGTTGAAATTGCACCAGGCCAGCTCGACCTAGCGGACTGTTCTATCTCATATCTTCTCTCCATGGTGACGTTTTAAGGTTTATAAAGCACGCGAAAAACACTTTAGATCTTCGAAGATATCGAAGATTGAGCTTTCAAATCTTCCAGCTCGCAATGTAAAATGTGAATCGGTTGGAACAATGATCTTGTCTGGGAGGGGAATGAGCGGTAATTGATACCTGCGTGTAAACATCATTCAGATCTCTCAAGCCTCGATGGTCAGACTTTAACTAGCACTTTCAACAACTTATTGACTTTGTATATAAAAGGTTTATAGAAGTGTCGAATTGATAGTAGCGACAACCCAAGACTGAATGTGTGTTTCCTGGCAATTGAGTCTTAACGGGTTCTTTTGTTCCCGGAAGACGATATGGTATGTAGTATGAGATTCAAAGGTGTTTGAGTTTTGTTTAGTTGAAGTTCATTCATTTACAATAAAAGCGGTAGTCAAGTAATAAATGTGCAAAAGAGTAAAGAAGGAGGAAGCTGGTGGACGAGATATGGAAGGAAGGGGCACATACGAAGTACTTTCACCGATGAGGGGATGCGTGTCTACGATATGCATTTTAATTAAGTTGTCAACCAAATGAACAACACGCTTTCAAGTTTACAGATCTGTGATTTATGACATTTAATTTTGCCTACGGAATTTCAGGCACTGTGAAAAAGGATAGAATATTCGGCATGGGCATAGCTTTGAGACTCTACATTTCTTTCGTGTGGAGGGAAAAGATCTGGATAGACAGAGCTCACGGCACATAATGATATAAACAATGATTATGCCCATCTAAGTCTTAATAATGATAACACACTGCTAATATAACTACCCCTCCGTCAGTTCCAAGCACCTGAATTTCCATATCCTCTAAATACCCACCAATAGTCTATTTACCATCAACTCTGAGTAACAAGCAAATTCTCCAGACCACCAAAGGCGTTTGGTTATATATCCCAGCCGTAAAAATTAACGTCCTCCCTTTTCCAATCATCTACGTTCTCAAGACCACTTCCCGCCCTCCAACACATTTCCATGTATCATTGAGAAATTATGACGGCGCAAGTAGCCCCTTGATATAATCTCCTCCGTTTAGTACCCCTCTGACATTCACACCCATTACCAATATTCCTATTTCCACATTCCTTACAATGCCGCTCCCTCGTATCTCTACACTCACCACACTTCGTACAATACTCCCACAAA